TGTGTGTGTACATATATACACATACATACATACATACATACATACATACATACATACGTGCACAGATACGTGCACACAGACAGCAACGCTAGTGCAGACCCCAAACCATGAAGGAGCACCTAATGCTCGAAGCCGTACGTACCCAAGAACCATTGCAAGAGCAGCTTGTGAGGCGAAGATGCACACCGCACTACCACGGTTGGCACTCCAAAACAACACCACGCAGTGGTGGGAGCAACGAGTCCCAGCCAAAGAATGAGCGCAGCTCTGGGGGGAGCTCGACCGGGTTGCGGACACGCACGGGAAACCCGAGGCGAATCGTGGCCCCTGTCCGCCTGCCCTCCTGCTCCCCCCTCTACCCCTCCTTCAAGTTTGTGGGTCTTGTTTTCCACCAGGCCATTAGGGAATTCTGCAAAAGCAATCCGCATAACCGAGGCCCCAAAAACTAGTTCCCCTTAGAAGTCGGTCAAGTGCAGACATCCGTCTCCATCCGTTCTTTTCGCAATGAATTGGCAATGCAGGCCGGCTCGAACCAAAGCGTGGTCCTCAGGCTCCGTCCGTGCACTGAGCTGTTTCCACCTTCGGCCTACCAAGGCGAGTTTGTGCTGTCACAGTCTCAGCTGGCATGGGAATGCAAAGTTGCTACTTGTTGCATTGCTGGGTGTAAAGGCATTGTCGGTTCAAGTTGTGGGATTGCTGCATGCTCCGCCCTCAGGCCTGCCTCGCCTGTGGAGGTCCGCCAAGAGGCTTAACAACTGGATGCAAGCGGTTTCGGCATGAGTAGAGCGCGACGTGAGTCTTCACGAATCTTTGTGTCACATTGCCAGTCAACAGCACAGCAAAGTGGAGGAGGACAACGGTAGACATTCGTTGAGCAGATGACGATACAACAGGGAACAAGAGAGACATAGCATACCATAGTATGATATATGAGGCATCATGTCCTGTCGAGTCAAGTCGACAATTGCCCGAGTTGATGTGACTTCGAGACTTTCGAAACCGTTGTTGCTTGACGCTGCCAGCATGCTGCAGTTCTAATTCCGAGTCTGCAAGTGGACCGAACTCAGTTGGCCTGACTTCGTTTCACTGAATAGTCGAAACTTGCGTTGATCTTGTGTCGACGTGTTGATCGGACGGGCCCGTGATGCATCCATAGCAGAGTCTTGTTATGGTGCGGGAACGTTCTCTCGGGAGACTGGTCCCGCCATCTCAGAAACGATGTGACGACGCAGCTTGGCATTGTCGGGCTGCTTCATGTGCAGTCAGTTGTGAGCCCTAAAGCCCTAAACCAACCCCGAAACTTCCTAAACCGCCAAGAGTAGGCAGTCACAGATGACAGGACGCAAGGAGTCAGACATGACAGGAGTGCCGCTGCATGGAATCTTGGGGCAACCGAAAAGTCACCAGGCTGATGAACTGTTTCTGGTAACGGATTTGTGGTTTGGGTTTGGTGCGCGGTTTGTCTAATCTGAGATGTCCTGCACTTGGAGTTTGCCGCCGCCGTTCAACTGCAAAAGGATGCCAAATATGTAAATCCTTCCATTGCGGCCAACGTAACGGCCGTCCTTTGACCAGGCAGACCTGGAGTGGTGGAAGAAGGCTGAATGCATCTGCTGGCCGTCGAGTTGACTTTTGGTTTTGTTGGGCAAGAGGCGTAGGATCCAACCTTTGGCAGAAGTTGCTGTGTCGTACGGTTGCTGACGCTGTACTGGCCTGTCCCCTGCATGCATCCAGGTTTTCTCAAATGCCAGGAAGGCGGAGATAGCAGAGTGCGTCTTCAACACCAATATGGCCCCTCACTGAGCGTAAGGGGTGACTGTTAACATTCAGTTTGCTGGCAACGTGCTATCAGGCAGCACAGCTGCTCGGACGAATGGGCCTGGCAATTCAAGCTTCCACGCAGGACGTGTTGTCGCAACTCGTGGCCAGTGCAAGCTTGGAGTAGGTGGCGAGGGGTGTGCAGGCTGTCATCTAAACGGGACGAGCAGACCGACCAGTCGTTTGCACTGCAAACTCTGTAAGCATCATCCCGGGTGTCGAGGACTGCACCGACTTCAACTTCAAGGTGCGTTTGCAGCATGTGTGCTTCCGTGCAAACGCAGAGACTGCAAGAACTCATGCGACTACAGAGACTGCAGTAACTACAGCTGCGATGCAGATCAATGGCGCCGGCGGCCAGAAGGTTTGCGCTGTGGACCTGGCAGGCGAGAAGTCCGAAATGCATCAAACGATATTCGGGATGCCCGCCGAAGCATTCAAGTCCTTCGGTCTACAAAGGATGTGGCTGTTTACGAGCCTGACCAACACAACCTTGCAACTCCAACTACTTTGCAGAGGTGTCATCGGCTCCTTCATGGGCGCTGGGCCGCTCCTTTGAATTCGCACGTTGCATGCAGCCAGAAAAGCTCAGGATCACTGAGAGGCCCGAATCGGAGGAATTCGTCACTTCTGAGGTTTCTGACAGCAGTAGCGCAATCCTGAGGCAGTTTCTTTCAGCGCTGGCTTCCAAGTGCACCGGAAAGGCGTACCCTGCAGACCCAACCTCAGGCAGAGCATCAGAGCTTCTAGTTTTCATGCGGCACAGAGCACCTTTGATGGAAGACGATGAGGGCTTCAGCAACAGGGCCTGACAGACACCCACTTCCTCTTGGCAGACAGATGCAGACAGAAGTTGTAGTGATTGCCTGCGAAAAGGAATACCGCTGTGTGAATTGTCGAGCGAACCCACTGAACTCTGCCACCAGCAGCTTGATCTTAGGCCGACTGCACTTCAGCAGCGTTCCAGGCGAAATGCTGTGACTGCGCAGGGGATGTTTGTAAAGTTAAACATGTCGCTTCCCAATGCTGAGCAATGGTGAAATGATCTGACATGATCTGACAGCCATGGGACGAGGTCATTGGAGCTATTGACACACTCGCAGCCGTGGGTGCAAGTTTTCCGCCGCTCAGCTCTGTTGATGCTTTTTCATCAGCAGCTAGCACGGGGTACTGTCGCAAGAAGCATGAGTGCTCTTGTCAGTCCGGCTTACTTGCAGCTCATATCATCATACCTTTTGCCTTGTTGTCGCCATCTATGCTGCAATCGCGTGCTCTTATTCGATCGGGGCAGATCGAGCATGGTTTCTTGCATCATCAGCTTTTCCAGGTTAACATGCGGTGGAGAGGGCGAAGAACGTCAGCCCGCCTGCATTCACGGGCTTGTGGAACACCAATTTGCCCGAAGAATTGCGTACTTCGATGCCAGTGGACTACAAGGACTTCATCCTGCCATGAGCGCCGCTGCCTGCTTTCGCAGCTCAAAGCAGCAAGGAAGCAGCTAAAGTGCGGCCAAATGAAAATCGCCTCATCAGGCGCAGCATGTCAGGTATCCACCAAACCATTTGAGCAAGTGCTCCCCAATCTTGACTGCACTGGCTCATCTGTTCGATGCTTAGCCCGGTCTACAGCTGCGAAGCCTGCGAGACCGGAGATTAGAAGAATGAATGCATGAATGCAGCGCAAATGTCTGTTGCAAGCACATGGATAAGAGGACGGACGCTGCCGGCTTTGCCGAGCTACGCCCTGACGTATTCTGGAGCTTTCCTGTAAGTCCGATGAGTAAAAAGCTGCTGCATTCACGTGGTGGAGACTGGAGTCCGAAGCTGGCTCCACACCCTTAGCTCTCCTCCACATTTTTGGTCAAAAGGTGTCAAAACAGCCTTCATGCGTGCGTTACTTTGTGTTCATCTTCATGCAGCATTTGGAGGCCTCTTAGCCTCCTCTTATCCGATAAGCATCAATCGCAGGGTGATGATATTTGACTCAATGGCTGCAGCTTCTGCATCTTCATTTTTTCTTCCACGTGTTCCGAGTTCTTGCAGGAGAGCTCCAGATTCCAGTCAGGTATGACGTTTCGACTCTATCATTGAACACCACCACGCTGTTCAGTTCAGAGTTCATCGGATTTGAAGATTCAGTTTGTTAGATTAGATGGCAGCTTATCTCGCATGGGGCGACGGAAGCAAGATTCCGGGTGCCAAGCTCAGAAGTTTCAGAAGAGAGTGCTGAGTGCTGTTTATTCCGTCGCGCCTGGCAGGTGCACGAGGCCGGCAGCTTTCGGTGCCATCTCCGCCCTGGTGCTGCTCGTTCTGCTGCAGTCCAGCCGCGAGGCGCACGGCGCACCCGAGTCCGAGTAAGTAACTAGTACCGCAAGACCGAACTCTTCCCTCATTGTTTTTAGGCGGACTTCCTGCAGCATCTGGAGCCGATCGCCGTCTCGGAAACAAGCCCTCAGACTGAACCGACGCCAGTTCTCGAGCGGCTTTGGCAGAACTTGATCATATCGTTCTCACTGGTTCCCATCTCGACAAGAAGGGCGCAACGACTCAGAATCACACCATGAATCCGTATGCCTTGTGATGGCAATCCACATTATGATCATTCCGAAACCGATGCAAAAAAGAAATGCAGACAACGTCAGTGACAAAAACAGTGTATTGTGTGTCAATATGTGTCAAATGCCCTGCAGACGCGAGTGCTCTTCGAGCTGCTGAGGCCACAGTCTTCGCCGCCAAAGTCTTCGCCGCCACAAAAAAGACTGACTGGCGAGGCAGCGCCCTCACCCAAACCTGGTACTCAGTTTTTGCCGCCTCCAAAGATTGAGGCGGCAAACAAGGCATCCACTTCTGGACAAACCGACGAAGAACGCCGGGTCTTGGAAGTGGTGCGAAAGCGGGCGGGCTTATACGCTGACAAGGGGGCGCACCCCGAATTCGCCAACGTGGTGCTGCTTACCGCAGCCAACTATGCATACTTCGCCATCTACCAGAACTGGCGATGCAACGCGGAGAGACATGGATTGGATTGGGCAGTTGTTGCCAACGACGAGGAGGCTTTTCAACAACTTGGCGCAGACAGAGCCCTGCTGGCGATCGGCGAGAAGGTTAGTGGCATGAACGGGTGGGGAAGTGCCAAGCTAGACAGCGTGGGCCGGAACAAGATGTTCATCGTGCTCACGATTATGAGAGTTTCAGGTTTAGGAGTAGTATTCACCGATGCAGACAACATGTTTCGTGGCGATCCCTTTGCAACGGGTGTGCATTTGGGAGATCTGATACGTTCTGAGAAATACGACTACGTCTACCAGGAGGAGCTTGCCAAGGCACCCGACAAGGGCCACATCGTGCCTGGAGATGGGGGCAACACGGGCTTCTTCTATTCAACTCCGCGGCACAACAAGAAAGTTGTGGCATTCTTCGCCGCAGTCGTCGCAGAGGTCGACCGGCAGCGCGAGGAATCTTACCGGAAGCATGGGGAGCGTTTAGGAGCAGACCAGCCAATCTTTTGGCAGGTCGTCCAGCTTCTGCGTTCGACAGGTGGCAAAGTTGGACCGGGCGGTTTCAAATGTGTGAAGCTGTGCCAGCAGAACCCGACCTGCCAAGCTCCCTTGGAAGACACTTTGCAGTACTGCTCCATGAATGCCTTCATGCACCCCACCGGCTGGGAGGAACCACCGCCGGAGCGTGTCACCTACCACGCGAACTATGCTGCCAACAACGACAAGATCGCAAAGCTAGAGAAAGCAGGGCTTTGGGGTGCTTGGTCAGAGAAAGCTGGGCGTTGCCATGTGCCTTGCCTTCAAGCTGAAACAGTTAATTTGCAGCAGGACAGTGTGGATCTTGGGAGATATTCCGGCCGGTCGTGCTGACTGCAGCCTGCGCTGGAGACCCCTGCCAAAGCATCCGAACAGCTTCACACCCAGTAGATTCCAGTAGATACGAAGGACGTATCCCCTCCAAAGACGCCTGCCTTCCTCCCCTCGGGAGTCTGGCTCAGGCTGCCAATCCTTCAACCTCCCAGCTGGCATCTTCGCCTTCGCCACCGCGGTCGGCTCCTGACATGTCCCCGGCGAGACTTGGACAGACACCAGCACCTCTTTGGCGAACAGCTATTGGCTCTGCAGGGGTGGATGACATGCGAGACCATGCCATGACACATGCTCGTACATGCTCGTAAAATGTGCATATAATTCCCTATGAGATGCACAAAGAATCGAATTTTCAATCCGGACTTAGAATCCGAGCTTGTGAGGCTAGACTGCCTGCGGCGCACTACACCTTCACTTCAAGAGCTGCAATATCCCAGTGACGCTGAGTCTCACTTCCAGGAGATACGACAGGCAGACATAGGGGGACCACCAGAGTGTGTCACAGGCCTTTGCACAACGTCCAGCAGACACACGGCCAATGAAGGCACTAGGACAATGGTTTGACTTCGCGGCGAAGAAGTTCATGGCAGACATGAAGAATCCGTACCACTGCGCTTCACTGAGCTCGGGGTTGGAAGGCAGTCGTTCGATGCACTAGTCACTACAAGTAGTCACTAGAGCATTCAGCGTCGTGACACGGCAAGCAATTGAGGTGGTGAAGGCTACTGCGGGCCGTGGATCGAAAATCGTTGGATTTCGCACTTTCTTGAAGGACGGGTCGCCTTTGCTGCGAGAACATACGACTGCAGAACTTGCTCGTGCCTAAATACCAGGTTGGGACAAGCGGCAAGCAGGCATGCAGCTGTCCGACATGTTCGGGCAACTTGATTGCAGATTGCCCCGCGCAGATTACATTCCTCGACCCGTGACCGATGGGGACCACGTAGGTGGCAGGCCAATTGAGGCCAGCTTTTTTTTCCAGCACAGAAACCACAAGCTGGGTGTGCCTTGAGGCGCAGCCAAAAAACTCTGAACACACCATCCCAGATCCTGCGCATTTTTCATTTTGTTGCAGTGCATATGGTTGGGAAGTTTTGCAGGCCGGGTGTCTCAACGTGGTGTCGCCCTGTCGTCTCGGAAGCTGTAAGAGAGTCAGCATCAAAAGCAAAGAAGAGAAAGCTTGGTTTGGAGATGTCACGTCTGCATCAGTTTGCTTCCTTGTGGAGGGCGTGGAGCAGCAAGATGGTCCCGAGTTTTGTTTGCGAGATGCGGCATTACGCATCGCAAACTCTTGCGGCATTCAGGCCGTACATTCCCATCTTCATGACCTATGTGGACCTGTGGGTTGCAAACGTCTTTGAGTATGTGTCTTGGCGGCAGCTTCAGGAGCATTCTGGATGCTGCAGTGTTTGCGCTGAACTAAGCTCAGCGCGGAAGCAGGAAGCGATGATAGCAAAGCTGAAGGAGGTGGTGAGGCCGGTGTGTATCGTGTGAAGAGGAGGTAAAGCAGCGCCGTGAGCCGTGCCATCCACCTACAGTCACACCAGGCCGAGTGTCGCCTACATCACGGTGGTGCAGCATGATACTGGCATGGTATCAAGCAGAGCACCTCGACCGCCCATCACTGGGCCACGTCATAGCGCGTCATTTCCACATCCGTGGGTCTGCTCGGCATTCTCATGGTTGCCTTTTCGCGTCCAAGTCCGTTCGGAAGGCTGGCGGCTGCAACTACTCTTGGCTCTTGAAGCGACCGAACCATCTTATTGCCTTGCCTTCATTGCTGCTCCTGTCCCTGACTCTGAGCATCATGTCCTCTATCGTGTCGCTGGGGTCGTCAGCATCACAAAGTGTTATGGACAGTCTTACATTAAGATGTTGGAAGCTTTGTTGATCTCGATGAGTGTTGAGGACAAGATTGTCAACCTCATGAAGGAGATTCCAAATGCCACGCCCTTGAGATCGCTCGAAAGAATCCGTTGGAAGAGGCAGAACAACGGCTGAAGTTGGTCAACAGCCCGTGTGACTACCTTGCGATGGCATGTCAATTTTGTAGCCTCGAGGTCCTCGTGCTGAGTGCGGGTGGCTATGGCCACGTTCCGATTCCACTCTTCAAGCAGCCAGAGGAGAGTCTCACTGAAGTCTTGCGAAAGGCATGTCGTCTGGCCGTGCCAGGAACTGCTTGGCAAGCGCTTCTTCAAGAGTATGGCCAGCAGAGAGCTGCTGACATCATACATGGGCAAACCTCTTACGAGATGTTCTTGGTGAGTCCCGTGTGCAACATACATGCTGCTGCATGCCCAGGTTCGGACACGAACGCGCCCAAGGACAGCGCCACAAGAGCCAACGTTCCCAGTTTTCGTCCAAGAATGTGTACACCAAGACGAACCCTGCACAGGACATGCGGAAGAAAATGATCAAGTTGGTCAACAAAGAAGCAGAGCTGATGGGTGTGAAGGCAGTGAGCCTTCGAGTGGTCGAAGGGCGAAGCGAGCTATGCCAGCTGCCAGCTATGGGAGGTGAAGACTGGCTTCAGCAGCGCTGACGAGTGGCACCAGACCGCCGGCAACTCCAAGGCGGCTCGGCCGAAAAGCTGCGAGCTGCGAAGAGCTGCGAAGAGCTGCGAAGAACGTAACAAAGAGTGTAGGAAGAGGTTTCTCCGTTTCTCCCTTCTGTCATTCCCCGTTTTTGAGGTCAGCCTCTGCCCGCGAGGCTATGGCCGGACGGCCTTCCATCTCTTCGAGATCTTACAGTGGCCTGGCCACCACACCCGTACTTGCACCAATGTGATAGTTTCAGCTTGAATCTAGTTTTCAAGGCCTTTGCTTCGTGTGCTTTAAGGCTTGGGCTCATTCCGATCCACGCTCGGCACCTGGAGATCCTGCTCACCGACTTTCTGCTGGAAGGATTCTTCCTGCACAGGTTTATCTCGACATTCCGTGGATACCCTACGCAGGCCACGTCGCTTGGAGCAGGCTATGAAAGTGGCACCTGCTGCTGTCAGACCTGTACACCGGCATCGGCTTCTCCACAGATGTGAAGGGACTTCCGCATGTCATGAAGACCGTGCAGGGCCCTCTCCTAAGGTGCTCTCTGGCCTCTGCCAACGGTCGCTGTTTGTGTTGCTGAGGTATGAGTGCTGAGACGCTTGAGAGCATGGAGGCGCAAGTCCAAACCAGTGAGTGCAGAGGTCCTCTGAAGATCTTTACCACTTTCAGGCGAAGATTCGATCATTGAGGCCGGCAGCGTGCGGCGCCGCATCTCAAGCTGTTGCCCAAATCGGCTTCCGAGTGAGGTCAAGCCACTTCACTGACGAAGGGCTGCTGACTCAAATATCGCATCAGCCTCAGCTAGGTGCTTTTGCCGACGCCTTTCTGTGCATCACAGCTTCTGAGGCTGTTCATGACCAGTGCAGCGGGTGATCTGAGATGCCAGAAGCTTCCAAGCACGCTCAATGGATGAAGGCGGTGAAAAGACTTGCAGGTCTCATTTCTCATCTCCAGTTGTTCCGGTGCAATTGCCGCAACAACCGTTTGACAGCCTGCAGCTGCACGTGTTCGTGAATTTCCCTAATTTTTGAGTAATGCAGGGAGGGCTGTGCTGGACAGAACATGCGCTGTCACTGGTCGAAGGCTCGAGGCCGAAAGACTCTTGCGGCCAGGAAATCAAGAAATTGCCACAGGCGGGCCCAGAAATCCCACTGCGCCACGCCTGCAGGCAACCAATTGCAGCTTAGCTTACTGCAGCTGCCACTGGTTGGACGTCAAACTCCGACCTGGTGTAGCTTCTGCGAACCGTCCTTACGTCTTGAGTGAAGATAGGGATCGCAACATGTTCAGTCTGCCGTCTCTGTTCTATGGAGTTTCGCAAACGGTAGCTGTTGGTTGATTCCTCGACCGGGACGTTGCAGTTTACAGAACATTTGGCCGCTTTGGCCCGCCATGCTGCCACTATACGAGCCCTGGTCGCACTAGGTTGCATTGCTTCGACGTGTGCTGCAGTTTGGCTGGCATCCCAAAATTGAGTCTAGGACATGCTGTTGGCCCATGCCTCAGAGCCCGTCAATCGCTTCGTGAATCGCTTCGTTTTTTGTTGGAGCATGAGGTGGCGCTGGGTCGCATCTTCCTCGCCGTGGCCATGGCCGGTGCCCTCTTTGGCGTCTTCTGCGGCTTGGGCCCCTTGGCCTGAGAGCAAATGTCCGAGAACGAGTGAAAGCCACGGTCCGCTCATGTCCGCTCTCAGGCTACAAACAGCCCCTGTCAGATGCCGAGTCACCCTATGGCCTCCTCGATGACATCAGGCTGGACATCTGGCAGCTCTGCTCGATGTACACTTCTTTTCATGTTGATGCTTAATATCGATGCTAGAAGTGTAGTCTCCAAAGCCGTCGCCTCAAACCAGCAGCAAAACCACCTCCACAAACACTGGCACCTGCATCGTTTGGGATGCGAGAATCTGAGCATCCTGCCACAAACTGTCAGAGTTTAGTGGGGCAGAAGGGATGACAACCCGCAAGTAGCATACGGTAGCCGGTAGCACGGCTTTTGAGATACATGCAGTACGAAGTGCACGGATTGGACCAGTATAGCAGCAACGGCAGTAGCAGCCACGGTAGCATTCAGAAGGACCCGGAGTGGGTGCAGCAGCGGTGTGTGAAGAAGCAGCAGTTATGAGTAGTAGCAACCGTTAAGCGTTCCTACTAGCTGCGCGCCTGTTTCACTAACGCCGCGTATTCTCTACTAACTCCGCGGTGTCTCTGCTTACACCGCGGTGCTCTACTGGAGTCCTTCAAGGAACTCTGTATAACTCTCGTTGATCAGTCGCGAAAGTATTGGCTGAAGCCATACAAACTGCCGCCGTAATCGGAGCAGGACGACGGGGGAGTAGCAGGAGGAACCGTGGTAGGTGCAGCGGTGTAGCGGTCGTATGCATTATAGCGACGAGCGTTAATGGCTGCTGCTCGGCGCGTTCGACTGGCCTGGCAGGTTATGACCCAGCGATTAGCATAATTAAGAAGTCTTCAGCAGGTAGCTGAGGTCGTGTCTTATCGACCAGTGGTTACTCGTAGCATGCCTATGTGGCCGCAACAGCCCAGCTTTCGACTCCTGGTTGGAACAGGGTGTTGAGAGCTTCTGAGTTCTGCGTACATGCAGAACACAGTGCTTGGCTTGACATTTGACGAAACAGTGCTTCGGCACGCAACCAGGAACCCGCATAATGAACATTCCGTTCCAACGAAAACAGCTCCAAACCACTCAAGTTGAAAACTCAGGGAAAACTCAGCGTGTCCACGGATGAAACTGCATGTTGACAGGAAAGGTGCAAGCCATTACGTAGTTCATTAGCCACAGCAGATCCTCTAGGATTTCATCGCACTCAAAGATTCCGTCGATGTCGCCATGTTTCAGGGTGGCCCTGACGTCAGCCTCGCATGCTGAAGATCGCCAGCTTGATGCTGGCTGAGTCCACTCGGCCTGCACTTGGCCTGCACGTGACTGCACAAGAGACTGCACAAGAGACTGATGGTTGGCACTGCCTACAACAGGTGCACGGGGTTTGTACTTGCAACATCCGCAACTACAACAGCAACTTTCAAAGCCTCAAAGCCAACCACAACAAATGCAGGAGAGGAACAGCAGCAGCGGGAGAGCGAGCGAGAGCGGGACAGGACGAGGAAAGGAGAAAGAGCAGTAGCAATCAAATGCAGTTGTGGGCATCTGCCAGGTAGCCGCTGAAGTGGACGACTACATGGAACTGTGAACAGGGACATTTGGTGAGACCAACAAGACAACCCGTATCGATTCAGAGAGGAGGGGCCGGTTTGCCCTGTTTGAGCTGGCTTGTAATCCACGATGCCCTGGCAACAGTCAAAGCCTACACGCCCTACACCTGCCCCGTCGAAGGTTTTTGTCCAGCTTCGGCCGCGGACTTGTCTTTGCAAGAAGAAGCACTTGGTGCAGTCGTTTCTCCGGCATCTTGGCGTATCTTGGCTGAGGCTTGGGTGTGGGGATCTGCTGCTGGGCCGACAGTGGGAAGGCCGGGTTGCACTCAGAGTCGCTCTGCTGTGATGTAATGGGAAATGGTCACTGCAGGAGCGCAGGTCGCTTCGAGTGAACATGATAAAGATTAAAAGCGTCTTGTTAGATGCATGCTTCAATCTCGCAAACGGCAGTGATATGCTCGCATTTGAATTTGACAGGCTCTCTCGCCGCAGCAGTGTATCGCCTCACAGATTGGCTTCATGCTGTGAAGGCTGGCGCGGGAGGATTTTCGAGACACTTAGAGGCTTCAGCGGTGATCTTGTGCCTTTAGGACTCATGCGCTAGCTGCAGGTAGCGGCTTTTGTTTGATCGCAATCTCCAAGCTGTGGTGAGAGTCTGGTTCCCGTCGAAAGACGGGATAGTGCTTCCTTCTACAATCTTGCGCTTGCTAAGTTGACACCGCAGCATCGAATCTGTTTAGCAGGCCATTTGCAACCCGTCTGCGTCGCAGTGAGTTGCAGGACTGAGTGGAGAAGGCTCGGTCGGACATCTTGCAAGGAAAGGGTAGGCACTGTCTGTGAAGTGCATGATCCGAAGCCAGCCAGGTGCTTGAGGGAGGACAGCCTTCTTGAGATTGGAATCAGCAGCGAGACCTTTGCATGCCTCATGCTGGAGAAGTGGCGTGGGTTCGTACGGGACCCCCTCTTCCTCAGAGGCATGCAGGATGATCTAGGTGAGCAGCAACAAGCCACTTTAAACTGATCATGTCCGACTTGCAGCCGTGATGTAGCAACTATGCAAGCATGTCGGTTCACAAGCTATGTCAAAGATCATGGTTTGATTGGGGATGGATCTTGAACTATCGTGTCGACAATCGTTGCACAACTGCCCAAGTTGTGCAGCGGCTGGCCGACGTTCCTTTCATCTGTATAGCAAATTCAGTGGATCAGAAATGGATGGGCAATGAAGCCATCAAGCCAAGTTTGAGACCGCAATTCGCACGAAAGCTCACTCCATACTGAGTCCAGTTTCACGGAAACCAGAAGAGTCGATGAGCTCAACCCTTCGATTCCGGATTGCTTCGTGCCAAGCTTGAGACTTCACTGGCGCCGGCTGCGCCAGACCCGTGCCGAGGGCCTTTTGATAGCAGTGTCTTTAGCGGTGCTGCATTGATTTGTTGGTGGGGGAGGGACATCACGCTGTTTTGGCCAGAGAAGTACACCAAGCCCCCAGTCAAGCATTAAGATTTAGTTATTGTATGGAGTTTTGTCTTGTTCGTAAATGACGGAAGTTAATTAGATCTTTACAGATTTGCAGATCTTGCAGCAGCTTTGGCCGACACTGCTGCAGCACTAGTAGGAGACTCCAGCATGGTTAAAAAAAGGACTGTCCATGACTGTGGGACGATGCTTAAACGATCTGCTTGGCATGCTTGGCAGTTCACTTGCATGTGTGTTTGCGGTCCGAAGCTCTAGCGAGCAATGCAGCGGGTCCAGCATAGGGCCTGTGAATGTGCAGCATATCCGCGGCAGCTGGAAAATGGCGGCATCCGAGGTGGTGGAATTCGTTGCACATGCCATCCAACTGCTGCAGCTGTGCGAAGACCGTCGACCGTGGTGTGAAGCAAAGCAGAATGCACAGTCTCAAGCAAGTTTGTCTCAGGAAGAAGCTGGAACTGCCTCCTCAGAACTACTGGTCCGCCTCTCAATTCAAGAGTGTCTTTTCAATCGGAGCCGTGCAGAGCTTGGAACGCTTTTGCTGCAGGCATGGAAGGAGCTTTGTCGAGCGGGCTTTGACCCAAGCACTTACTCGCGGACACGGTTTTTGTGGGGTTTGAGAAGCTTGTCTGTACGCCGGGCAGCTGCAGCACCGCTGCAGTAGTTTAATTTCGCAGATCCCGTATAATATCTGCCGAACATCTGTGGTGTGTTGGCAGCACGGCTTTTTAGCATGACTGTCGTACACTTGCATGCCGATAAGTTTCATAGACGACTTTAGCACGCTACAAGTCCGATCAGCAGACCCGACTGTACATGCCGAGAAAGAAGGCAAAGAAAGACAGCCCCGGGCAAATTCCGACGATGAGGAGACACAGGACGGGGATCGCAGCAGTGCCGCAAGCACACTGCTGCGACAGCATGTCAGCTGCCTTTGATATCCTGTGAACTGGCAATTGTCACATCATGTAATGCTCACGACGAGCTCGAAATTCTCTGCAGGAGCAGAGCCCAAAAGCTCGAGGCACTTTTTGAGATAGCTTGCCGTATTTCGCTGTGGGACTTTGAGGCTGTATGAGGCAGTCAGGCGTTTGTCATTTGTGCAAAGACGACAGCCGGAGCAGTCACTGGGGTTTGACAAGCCCATGGCATACAGAAGCGGCAGCCGCAAATTCTGGAGCAGTGCACCATTTAAGGAATCAATAGGAACCACATGCACGAGCTACTCAACACCGCAGTTTGGTTGCTCGTGTCACAGCGAGTGCTGGACTTGTGAGGCTCAGTGCGAAGGATCATCGGTTTTGCAACATCGCTTTTTGGAGACTGTGACTGCGCCCCTTCCACAGCAAGCACCTCCCCACATGCATCAACGAACAAATCCACCAAGGAAATTCCTCCTGGTGTTGGCAGATGCAGTGGGTTGTATGCAGAGCATTGCAGAGCTCAACGCTATATTGCTATATTGTATACATAAGAATAAGAAGGTTGCATGCAAGACTTAGCATTCTCTTCCTGCCTTGACGGGTTGGTTTATGTAGGAATGTGAAGGTTATGTGCAAGACTCAGCACCATGGTTCTGCTTTGATGCACTGAAGAATTGGCCTGACTCAGTCCACGTCGTATCAAAACATCTCAAAGGTGTGGTTTCTTGGAGTTGGGCGAATGCACATGGCCGACTGGCCGACACTGTGTTGTAGAACTCAGATGAGAATTGGCCCGTTGAGAGGCGCAAGCAAGACGTTGCTCCGCTTACAAACGTGCCAAGCTCAGTATCGCCTGGGTGAGGTCATGCGAGAACAGCTTCTTGGCAAGACTCCAGGAATCGTGACCTTAGCGTGACGACTTTCCAAGAATCCCCAAGTCCCAAAAAGTGAGAACGCTTGCAGCTGTACATGAGCTGCTCGTCTGCTTCACCGTGATGAGTCGCTGCTCCGCACTTTCGGTGTTGTTCCAGTTGTTCCACAATAAGACTACGGTACTGATTGAGCGTAGCTGCAGTGGTACGACATGGGCAATGGGATGCATTAACAAGCAGGGCTTCGGGTGCTAATGCCAGTGTACTGAGCACCTGCATTGAGAGGCTGCAAGCTGTACCCGCCAACCCGCGATCGAATTCGCTTCAATTCCAATTGTCCTTGCAGGGCTTCGACCATGATTAACACGACTGACGGGAGCTCTGCGTCTTCGAGTTCTCGATCCAGGCACAGCAGCATTGATGCAGTCTAGGTCGTTTCGGATCGCGAAGAGATTTCGCAGCACCTGCCACAACTCATGGCATGCTGGGACATGCTGGGACGATCTGTTGAATCTATTCTTGGCCGCAAGAAAGTGCCCGGTTGCCGCCGTAGCAGGAGCCGAAAACTTTGTTTCAGCTAGCATTCTTTCCCCTCCGCGGATCGCAGTACGGTGTCCTGCACGGGGGGAGTACAGAGGATTTCTTGTCCATGTGGACGGTTCTGTGTGGTTTCGCATTCAACCGAGGCTCCGATCGGACGCTATGTTTCCCGAAGGATAGAAGCCCAAAATGCCCAAAACCACAGACGGAGCATCGCAGATCCATGGGTGATGATGCAACACATTGACATTGCATCGACATGTTCAACATACGACACCGCGCTGCTGATACCTAGATGTTCGGGCAGTCTGTCTCCACGCAGCTGTGCCGAGATGTGTCCCCTCAGATTTACCTGGATTTGGATCCTCCCCGCCGGTGCACGAACACTCCTGTCAGGTCAGTATCAGCGGCAATCTCAGAGGCCCGACGTGGTAGGGAGATGAAGTAACGAGGAATAATGCAGTATTCAGTATTGATGAACTAGTACTGTTATCTGTATCGGATGTCTGCTAGCGCTGGCAACGACCTTGTTTTGGGCTTCATGCATGCAACACATTCTGGTTGAAGCGGTTGGGTCTAAGGACAGAGAATCATCCTCTAGCTGGTTTTCAAGAGGATGCACTCCCAGCATCTGCCGTGATCTCAGACGTTCTTCTGCAAGTCATGTCGTGTGTTGCAGCGGTTCGCTGATCTCTTCGGCTCGGCAACACCATGCATGTTCTGGAACTGATGCCCAATGCCCAATGCCACTCCAACATTAACCAACGTCATGTTGTCAAGTTGTCACCGTGTAATTTCCAGTGCAGCCGCAAGCAGAAGCAGGCTTACTTTCCTCTCGTCAAATAGCTCCTGAACAACTTTGTCAGGAGATCGAACTCACGTGTCAGGCAACTCGGATGACGGACGTTTCGCCCACCATGTGGTCTTCAGTCGGGCACCAGAGTTTTCTGTGTTCAATTTACACAGTCAATTTGAAGGACCTTATGGCTGCCCCAGGACGTGCGCAAACAACAAATTGCGAAGAAGCACTGCGAGCGGTCACATACCCAGAGCACACCAGGTTGCTGAAGGTCTGCAAAGATGTCAACTTGAGTTTTCAGAGCCGTGGACGAGGCAAGAGCCATGGAAGCCGTACGGCTGGAGGATGCCAGTAAGCCCGTAACTCAGCATTTCCGAGGGTTTCTAGGGTCCGGCAGCTGCAGATCACTCCGACAAAGACAGCGATTTTACTTCGAGGCTTTCAACCAGGCAATTCGAGCGTAAGGCAGGATGCAGTGCGACGAAGTGACGTTAGGGACAGGGCACATGCGATGCTCGCTGCTCAGCTTGACCAACTTCTCAGCTTTATTCTGTCTGTCCTCCGCCCTACGAGCTTCTGCACATTCTAGTGCCAACCAGAGCGGCTGCTTGAGGGATCTTAGTGGAAGGACCTGTCCTGCACGATACATGCTGGAACCCTTGATTGTGCATGAAGCTTCAGCTAGCAGCTTGCATGCTTCAAGCTCGAGGCGGCTGAACATCTTGCAGCCACAAGACTGGTTGAAGAAGCCTGCAACAAATTGCCTCGGCTCCCTTGCCTTCAGTACCCGAGCTCTATGCTAAGAGTCTCCGGGGCACCTCCAGATTGAGGTACGAATGTCTCGGCGTCTCTCCAAGAATTGAGTTTGTTTTCGCCCCACACGGAAAGAGATGAAATTGGTATTGTCGTGGTGTCTTGAGGTTGGCAGTCTTCTCGATGTGACAAGTGCATTTACTTCTTACAAAACTCGCGCAAGTAAGTACTCGGGTTGTGAGGCAAGCAAAGGAATGTGGACTTTTTGATCTACTTCTTGCCCTACTTCTACACGATTTGCAGGTGACAGTCCTTTGAGTTCGGTGCTTCCACCGGAAGATCCATCTTGAACAGGCCGGGTGCAGGGTTTGATTTAGCAAGTCTTCTTGCTCATGTGGCCTTATCGCTGTTTCATTCGAGGCAAGTGCCAAGCCTGGATACCTGCCCCACATACCTGCCAGAGACTGGCGGCTGTTCTGAGTGGCTCTCTGCATGGTCCGGGACAGGGACACTGAGGATTTTCACATCCCCGTGGAGAGAGGCTATTCGATTTTGACAGTTAGTCACGTGTAAGCCCCACCCGTAGTGAACTCCGGAATTTTCGGCCGATCCGAGATGTCAGCTCAACTCTTTCATGTTGAGGAAGCCCGCCGTGTGTGAGTACATTGCAGACGGAGGTAGCATGACAAGGATAGACACCGTCGTGGGTGAGTTCCCCAATTCAAGAAGAAGTGAGGGGAGTTTCGTGGACAGGCTTCTCGGGCTCGACTTCGAAGTGTGCCTTTTTCTTGCAACTACGACTCCAAACGATCAGCCGTGTCTGTTTGATGACGTAGTTAACTAACGAATCTTGACGGCGGTTTTCCGAATGGCCTCCAGGTGGAAGGGGCATCGGGTCGAAGTACTTGTCGTGGCGTTAGGCTCGTCAATCATTTCAACGATGTTGCTACAATGACTGTGGCATCCAGGCATCCCGCCTTCCACGTTCCGTGACTCTCAATATGAAGCACAGCACACAAGCTACATTGCAACTACATGGGTGAAAGCAGAAACACTCCGTACGCGTACATGGACGTTTCGTGATACATGTAGGTATTACACACACGCACATATATGTACAGACAGACGCCCGCTACACAAATACATGAACACAGTCCAACTATTGACGCTCGCACACACACCCCATATATATATACATATATATA